ATATACATATATATTATTAATTGGAAGACAACAAGGTCTAATTTTTTTACTATTATGCAATATGAATACATAACTGCTTACAGATATCCTCCATTTATTATTAATAATTCATGAGACTGTACGCCATGTTTTAGTGAGACACTGAGCACCTTTAAGGAGTGTATAGAATCCCAGTAATCAGCAAACTGTGTGCTTACTTTAAGATTGTTCTATATTTATTAAAAATAGACTAGTTTTTATAAAGGATGCTTTTGTATAAGTGAWGGTATTTGTTGTGCAGAGGAATGCACTGTCAGTAAATTGGATTGGCGTTTCATGGTAACATTAGGTTCTACTTAAAATATAAAATTGGATTTTTTTTTAAGTGTGGAAAAGTAGAAAAACCGGAGCTGGGATACGTACGCATTCATGGTAAATGAAGTAATATTGATACATAACATCACTGATAATGTGGTAATTCTTTTACTTTTTTTGGCTTGTTTGTTTTTTTTCTTTTCTTTAGGTTGCCTTATTTACTGATCTATCTTGAAAATGACAAACGTGCATTTGTATGTGTGTTTGTACAGACACCATCAAGCAAACAAACAGAAACAATGACATTTCATGGGCATCATTGTGATAGAAAGCAAATATATGAACCAATAAAAACACATAATCAAAAAGTATGTGGTATCACGTTTTTCTGTGTGTGTATGCACACTTGTGTGCACCATCACATATGCACAAAGGGCTTATCTGCTTCCAACACTCAGGGCATCTTAATAAGTCTGGGTTAGCATTTCAATTAGTTCTGCTTTAGCTCAAATGCTGCAGAGATCAGATGCTCTTATCAGGCTGATTGAGCCAGACTGAAACAGCAGCGTGGGGAGAAAAAAAAAAGCACATGCTCCAGAGCAATTTAACTGAACAAACACGTTACATCACAATGTGTATTGCAAGCCATGTGGGCATAAAGAGCTGGATTTAAAAACTTGGATAAGAGCTCTTCCCTATAAATAGATGGTAACCCCCTCTGGGCATTTGGTTCGATCTGTTTCATAATCTAAAACTCTGTGTGAGTCACCCAGAGAGGGCAAAACAAAACTTATGAAATAGGTGGACCAACAGGGCACATTGCAGCCTACGTCATGACAGCGGCAACAGAAACATCATCCTCAGTAAGAATTGAATGAAGAGTTGAATAACAGACATGAACTTCACAATTATCACAAGCTTACAGGCACATATATGCTGTTGATTGTAAC